TTTTATTACCTAACATTAATACTGAAACAAATGCATTAACTGTTCACTAATGTTAACTAAATCTGGGTCAGCGCCATTACTTTTTAATTCATTTTATACCAGAACATTTACTTTTTTTTGCTGTTTAGTAATAGTAAGGTAGTTGTTAAGTTTAGGTATTGGTATTTAGGTATTTAAGGGATCTAAAATATGCTCATGCAGAATAAGGCATTAATATGTGCTTTATAAGTACTAATAAACAGCCGATGTGCTAGTAATATGCATGCTAATATGCAACTAGTTAATAGTGAGAATTGGACCTTAAAGTAAAGCATCTTCCCTTTGAATGTATTTTTCTGACCCTATTTTCAGATATTTTCTCTACAAGATTTAATAAGTAATTGTGTTTCTCTAGTAAATGCATCTTGATTTAAAAAATATTTAGATATTTGTCATGCAAAACACAAAAATTATTTATTTTTTGCAGCATAGCGACGATTGATGTAACAAATGGCACTAATTAAAGGCTTCTTAACCTGTAGTTTAATCAGATCTCACGAGCTCTGGAGTTTCATCAGAGAGGACAGGTACGGATCGCAGCTCACACACACACACACACACACAACGGCCCTGTTGTTACAGACCTGTGTGTTCTGCCAGCTAAGTCCTGGATCTCTCTCTGCGATTCGAGCTCAGAGAAGTCATGCCAGCTCAACATCAGATGAACTGAGGAAGGATTGTGAGTGTAAGGAGGGACGGTAATCCTTCAGACACACACACACACACAAGGTCTCCTCACATTGACGTGCACGTCGTGAATAAGTCCCACTGGACACGATGCCGGCTCTACAATCGAAGCGCAGCCGTGTGGGGGTTGAAATCTGGGTCACAGATAAATGAGAAAACGGGCCCCGTCTCCCCTGCTTTTGTTTATTTTGATTTTGTTCCCGGCCGTTCGGTGGGGTTTCAGCAGGAGGAAAGAGGGGCTTTAGTGTCGAGTTAGTCGGGTTCCTGCTCGTTGTTTTCGCAATAAAATCCAGAGAGAGCCTTCGGCATCTGCAGTACAGCTTTCCACAGACTTTACAGCACGCAGACGCTTCGAATTAAAGGAGACATATTATATCAAAATAGGGGCAAGACCCTTTTGGGGTAGGGGCGTGTTTGTTTTGGTGATTTCAAATGTCAACATTGGCTACCAGAAATCGCTTACCCCAGCTTTAAATCAAGATACATTTTTTCTTGGGAAGCAGAATGACTTAAGATATTAAGTCTGAAAAAGATCTGCCAATGGAGTAAGAAAAATAAACTTAAAGGGGTCATATGATGCTGCTAAAAAGAACATTATTTTGTGTATTTGGTGTAATGAAATGTGTTTATGCGGTTTAAGGTTAAAAAAACACATTATTTTCCACATACTGTACATTATTGTTTCTCCTCTATGCCCCGCCTTTTTGAAACGCGTCGATTTTTACAAAGCTCATCGGTCTGAAAAAGTGAGGTGTGCTGTGATTGGCCAGCTATCCAGTGCGTTGTGATTGGCCGAATACCTCAAGCGTGAGACGGAAATGTTACGCCCCTCACCATACTGTTGATGCCGTGTCCGGCCGGAGCGACGAGACATAAACATTAAAACCCATTACAAACGAGGCATTTGTTGCATCCAGTGGGGACATAATTACTGATTATAATGACTTATACTGTCTTTTTACGCGTTGCGTTGCATTGTGCCGCGTAAACATAAAACCCTGTCTGTATTTGTGATCGGAGAAATGACAAACAACAAGTGCTACTCCACACTGCCCAAAACTCGCGTTTGAATCATCAGTGGCAAATCCTTTAAATGAAAACGTACTTACGTGAGTCAGAACTGCCGGCATTTTAGTCTAACGTAACTCTCCCAGGATCAGTAAACAGTCCTCCATAAAATGTGCTGGCGATCCACAGCACTAAGTTGATGTATTTCCTCAGCGACCAGCACAGATCAGCTCTAGGCATGGCGAAGCGGATATCGTCCTCTTTTGGAAGACCAAACAAAGTGGTTTCGCTTTCACAACGAAGCACACAGCGTCTTCACGACATGGCTGCAGCGTCAACAATACTACAGCGAGAATAAAAGTTATGCTTTCTTTCTTTGCGTGAACATTTGGGCGGCTTTATGCAAATCTTCCCACATAGTGAGGTAGGTATGTGGGGGCGTGTTCGAACGAGCCGTTTTAGGTAGGTGTGGCTGACTCTTAACTTTTATAAAGAATATCTCTTTGGATTTGAGACTTTAGTCTTTGCAACTTTACAGATCTTCTTTATGCACCAAGAGCTTGTAACACTCTAAAGAGAAAGGAAAAAATGAAATCGCATCATATGACCCCTTTAATGCAAAGGAAAAACAAGGCTGCTCGTTGGCAGATATGTTTCTTGTTTTAAGCAAAAACACTTAATTTTGATAAATTTTTCACTTTTTTTTGTTTCTACAGTAAATGTATCTTGATTTAAGAATGTTTATATATTTGTACTGGAAAACAAGACAAAAATACTAAGAAAGAAAATTATATATATATATATATATAAATTACATTTACATTTTTACAAATCTTTCGCACCGTTAACATACATATTTTTCAACTGAATTTTTTTTAACCATTTATTTTTCTTTTTTCTCTTTCACAGTGTACAAAAAACATCACAAGAACAAGGCCACTGCTACTTTAGAACCCCTTTTAAACCAGCACAAACACACACACTCCACTTGCCATTGTCTGCTGTAAAAGCCCAAGTCGCCAATGCATACCATCGAGGTCTCCATGGAGGGCTGTATACTGCGAAAGCTGGGCCAGAGAAGGATAGAATGGGATGGAGTGCAAGGAAGAGAGATAGAGTTGACAAAATCACATTAGTTTGGGTGAATGATTAGGACAGCGAGTTTGCAACTAAATGGTCCTTCTCCCAAAGAGGCCTCCTGATCCCTACTGCCTTTAAGAACAGCGTCCCACTGAGACTCTGCTATCATCAATGTACTGTTATTAATACAACCTCTCGCTCACCTGGAGTCCAGTTCCCTCTGTAAACACGGAGGAGAGACCAGGAGTGGTGACGGGCCTCGGGAAGACATCTGTAGAGAGTAAAAGAAGTAAAACCTAAAACCTAACCAAAGTTGAATGGAAATATGGAGACAAATGGACCACAATCTACGCCTTTTAGCATTTTAGGGTTTCCCCTGAAGTCCGCTTATAATGTTAGTCAAGATTTCTTGCACCAAAAAACAATGTAATTTTTCCACATTGTCTCTGACAATTTCAAATTAAGGATTTTTGTTTTTGAAAGAAATTCAAATTCAGTTCTTTTATTCAGCAAGTATGCATTAAACTGTTAAAAAGTGACAGTAAAACATTTAAAGAGTTACAAAAGATTTCAAATAAATGCTGTTTTTTAAAACGTCCTATTTATCAAAGATGCCTGGAAAAAATGCATTATAGTTTCCACAAAGATATTAAGCAGCATGAATTACTTCTGTGACACTGAAGACTGGAGTAATGGCTGCTGTAAATTCAGCATTGCATCACAGGAATTTTTTTAACATATTTTTTATTAATTACGTATTTCAGTAAATGTATCTTGATTTAAGAATGTTTATATATTTGTACTGGAAAACAAGACAAAAATACTAAGAAAGAAAATTATATATATATATATATATATATATATACACACCTCCCCCCCTTACTTACTTAATACTTACATGCATACTACGTTTTGGATTAACTTGTACTATATATCTATATGGAAGAGGATTTAGCACCGATGATCTTATTAACCAATAAAATGTGCTGCTGGTCATTTCTGTAGCTTTATTGATTGTTAATTTATTTAGTCAAACCCGGCAATGGTGTTCATTGGATTTGGAAATTAATATTCCATGCTTTTCAGTTTATAAATGAACTTAAGACAAGTGTTCATCTTACATTTCAGCATGACTTTTATTCCAAATTAATTATTCCAAAATGTATAAATAAATTATTTTCTGTACAAAATTTATGAAGCTTCGAGACACTTTGAGAAGTTCAAGAAATATTAAACCAGAAACATACTCAAGTACACTATAAACGTTAACAGTTTGATTACCTTTAACTAACTTGCTCTGCTAGATTCTCCTCAAATGCAATGACAGTAATTGACCTGACCATAGAAGTGCACATTAATGTCTGCTATAGCGTCCCTTGCGGCAACATCGAGAATGGATTGGTTTACGTTTCAATCGGTGTTTGCATACTTGTATAGAGTGTGCTTCTGATCTTAGAGTTTAAATAAACTCTACACTTTAACATTACTAATAACTCATCATATGCAAAAAAGAAAAGTTGGAAACACTTTACTTAAAGCCTTTAGGTATAATGCATTATAAAGGTATTCATAATGTAGCCTACATTGTAATGCATTGTATCTTTTCATAATTAATTGTAGCCAAAGTTAAAATGCATTATAATATTTGAAAGTCTGTCATGTGTTTTAATGCATTATATTTTTTAATGGTGTAACAATGTATTCTAATGCATTGTAACTGTGGTTACAATTATTCAAGAGTGCATTACAAGGCATAATTAATGCATTAAAACTGCATTAGATATAAAGGTTTTAAAGTGATAACGAAAGGTCTAAAACCATTGAAACTTGTATGAAGAAAACAGTTTCAAGCTGCAATAAAATACACAGTCGTCAGGCAATTGGTGTTGATTTCCAGCATACATGAACAATAGAGATGATGGTGATGCGTGCATGCTGTCAAACTCTCACATCCAAGACCTGATAGTTCAGAGGAAGAGGACAAACCAATGAAACTCCAGCGTGAGAGAGAAAGAGAGCGTTTAACAGCTTCTGAGGGCCTCTTCACATTAATGAAGCACTTGATCCCAAAACCGGCTCCTTTATGTGCCTACTGTTTGTCTCGAGACACTTCAACAAGTGGCACTGAGCTGAAACAATGCACGGATTCAAGAAGGACTAAACGTTCAACAGTCACCCGCCGCACTTTAAAGTGTGAACGCCAGAGCGAATGCAATGCACAGCAGGACTGTCTGTTGAGAACGAGTCACCGACAGCACTGCATCAGAATCGGTCCCCTCGCTCTCCGGTTTGACCTCATAATCCTCGTCCTCGTATGCATCGTCCGTCCCGTCGTGGTCCATGGAGACGCTGTTGTCTCCTGTCGAACACAGTTTGACCATATTCTGTTTGACCACCTCACAAAACGGCCTCTCCAGCCCGTCACACACGCATTGGTTCAGCAGCACGCCGTTCGGCATGAACAGCAGCTCCTCGATGGTGGCTCTGCACCGAGACGAACACTTCCTCCCGTTGAACAGCTGTCCGCAGTGGGATAGATATGCGGTGAGGGATGACTGACAGCTGGGCTCATCCTCGCAGCGCTGGCGAGCTTCCATGCAACCGATCCCACCGGCATCACCCGGATGCGTCCGCGGCACACAGGGCTCGACGGCTCGTTTGGCCCGCAGGCACTCCGGGTCGCTGCCGCAGTCGCAGGTCTCTAGAAACGGGCCGTTTGCGGTCTGGTTGAGGCGGATGAGCGCGCTGATGCAGTGGCTCGGACACAGGCGTCTGGCGCCGCGGATATTCCCGTCGCACGCGCTCAGGTACTGGCTGTAGGCGAGCTCGCAGTCGCGTTCTTCGTGACATCGCATCAGCGCCTGCCAGCAAACCAACTGCGCCTCCAGCATCATCACAAACGAGAGAAATGCCACGGGAACGATGCGGCTCTCCATTTCTGCTGCAAACTCAGATTAGGTGCATGCTTGCATCGATCTGGTGCACTTCAATTGAAATGCGAGGTGAACGCATAACATGGTGCGTCTGCGTTTACTCCACAATGAGGCTTTTCAGAGGGAAAGTTCAGCGGTTATCCATGTGATCAGTTCAATCTGCTGCTATCCGGTTACGCATTTCAAGTGTTTATCTGTTCACCGAAAGTGTGAAAGAATCCTCCTGCGTTTGCATGTTATTTGGAGTGTGTTTTCTGCTCTCGGAGTCCTGTTGCATGCTGCGTGTCTTTGTCCCTCCGGCTCTTTCACGCTCGGCTGCGCATTTACGCGCGGAGACCCCTCCTCTCTTCATTACGCATTCTGTTGTTCTATTGGCTGCAAACGTGGGATTCCATAGTAACGTGGTTTTTGGCAAACCTCACCTCCCGTACAGGATAAATAAAATGTTTATATATTTCATGAAGCCGGCGAGCTGTGTGGTCTCTGCGTTAGATTACAAAACCCCCTCAGCGCGCGAGAGACGCATTCCTCTGCTGGGAGCTCAACATCTGCAAACCGCTTCTTCAATTTAAAGCGCAGAAAAACAAATCTGTTTCTCTTTAGCGCGAGCCCAAGAACAAGCCCCTGTATAAACCGGTGGGTTTCGAGCCCCCGTCGCCCTCGGCCTCCTTTGGGGTGTTTTAATCGCGGCCTGATGGAAAATAAAAGGGTCACAAAAGTGTTTTCTGGACCGTTTCACCCTCTTTGTGTCCGACTGGCCATGCAGCAGCCCGGAGGCCCATCAATAGAGACTTTCCACAACAATATATTTTACTGCCCTGTCCTTTCACAGCGCACTTGAGATCAGCGATTCTCTGCTATTCAGATGGAAACGGCTCTGATTGGTGTAGAAAAACTATGCAAAACCGCAACCATCCACAGAGTCTGTTAGCTAGCAGAGGAGAACGTGTGTTGGAAAGACCGAGGTTAGTTGTCACACAAAGCGTGAGCCACAAGTCCAGCAGCGAAAGCTTGTTATCTACACTCTAAGAAAATGCTGGGTTGTTTCAACCCAACTTTGGATCAAATGTGGACTAACTCAACTGTTGGGTTAAATTTTTTTAATTAAATTTTTAACCCAAAAGTTGGGTTAGTCCACATTTGACCCAAAGTTGTTTTTTTTTTAGAGTGCACATTGATTTTAAAAACAAAGCTTTAAATTTGTGTCTAGAAATTACAAATTAAAATCCCAATATTAAAATATTTGTGTAAAAATACAACATATCGGAATCAGAGAGGTGAAATATGGGTAGTTGACATGATATACTGCATCTAAAATGGTTTTAAAAACATCTGTTTCTAATTGTTGTATGAATGCTATGCATGCATTTTTAAATGAGAGAATGCATGGTACTTAAATTGTCATAATGCAAGACTGCTAAACTGATAAAAAGTGATTAAAAACACTTTAAGGCAAGACACCCCAGGTGAATAGAGCTAAAAAATAAATTGAGAAAACAGCCTTTAATTGTAATTGTTTTGTAACTGAAATCTACAGACACAAATAGATAAGTGTATTTTGGATGTTTTCTTTCCACTAGTCTGAAACAAATAACTAATAACTCAAAATATCATCAATGCATGAAAAAATGCATTTACCTAAACTCAACATTTGTTTGCAAAATGCTTATTTATGTCAACTACCCACCTATATAACGCTTCATGAACGCGTGTCTCCATCTAGCGGTCAGACACGGTACTGCGGCAATAAATTGAGAAAACAGCCTTTAATTGTAATTGTTTTGTAACTGAAATCTACAGACACAAATAGATAAGTGTATTTTGGATGTTTTCTTTCCACTAGTCTGAAACAAATAACTAATAACTCAAAATATCATCAATGCATGAAAAAATGCATTTACCTAAACTCGACATTTGTTTGCAAAATGCTTATGTCAACTACCCACCTATATAACGCTTTTTCATGAACGCGTGTCTCCATCTAGCGGTCAGACACGGTACTGCGGCGGCTGCGCTGTGGACACATCACACAAAGGCTGAAATTACATCACAGGCGTCACAATCTTTGTACAAATATATTTATTACAGTTGCAACAGTCAAAAATCAGCAAGGTCTGGAAACTACAGAAGAATAATTACATAAATGCATTACATTGGTAATTACGTTACTTATGCAGTCCAGAGAGGAAACAACTATGGGCATAAGTAAAATAAATGACAAAAAATGCAAAAAAAATAAAGAAATAAATATATAATAATCTAACGGGTTGAATAAAATTAACAGGAAAGTCAGTTCAACCCTTCACATTAATTGGCTATCAGCTCTGTCCTGTAGATACAGCTTATCAGAACTCCTTCCCTGCAGGGCTTCGCTTAAAAGCCAACAGAACACAGAATCAGAATAAAACCCTTCATCCAGACGCTCACCTCAGCAGCACAGCATTTCAAATCATTATTTTGAGTCTCCAAAAGAGGGAACAACCAGAAAGAAAAAGGTCAACATCTGCATCACGACGACACCAAACCACCTGCACAAAACAGCTCCACTCAATCAAAGGTCAAAGGTCAAATGTGAAGGTGTTAGTGTGGATGTTTAGAGGAATCTGGGTTCTACCTCCGTTCCTGCTCTCATAAGCCCTTCAAGGCTATTGCTGTAATAAACACCTTTGAGTGTCGGAGCAGGTCTGGTTTGGATGGACGAATCTCCAGAAACAAGTCACATTTCACCCCAAAGTCGAAATAACAAAGAAATTATACTTGCACAATGGAAGTGAGGGCTATTTTAGGACCATTAAAGGGATAGTTCACCCAAAAATGAAAACTCTGTCATTATTTACTCACCATCAAGAATGTTGGTAAGCAAACAGATGCCGGTAGCCATTGCCTTTCATAGAGTGGGAAAAAATACTGTGGAAGTCAATGGCTACCGGCAACTGTTTGCTTATCAATATTCTTCAAAATTAGTTTGGAGCAACATAAGGGTGAATAAATGACAGAATTTTCATTTTAAGGGTGAACTATCCCTTTAGGATTAATAATTTATGCAAAATATAATTTTTTGCATGGTGAAATGTGACCCGAGCATGTTTTTTTTGAGATTCTCGTATATCTGATGAAACACACGTGACATTTAAACTCCTAGAACAATATCAGCATCATAAAACAAACACTGCCCTACACGTCACACTGGATATATTGATGTTTGTCGTTAGACACGGCGACGTCGTCTGCTGCCGCCTGGATCTGAGTCTCATCCAGCTCATTCTGAGATACAGAAAACCAAGGAAACGGGGAATAATCAATGACATATGTGTCAAACTTCACCCTGAAATCAAGAGAATAATAGATTACATGAAGAAAGAGACGAAAGCGTTTTTACATTTACATTTATTCATTTAGCAGATGATTTTTTTAATATGCATTTTTTGGAATAAAACACATAAAAGTCACGTGAGAAATCACAGAAAAAATATGCGGTCCGCTCTTGCATTATTTGCATTATTATGAAAATGGGTTATTAATTATGATTTAAAAAATATTTTAGATCAAAATCAAGAAATTAAATACAGTACTTCAAATACTACAATAGTGTATAAACATTTCAAAATGTAAATAATATTTTATTAACATTTTTGCATTGATATGTATTTTATATATTGATGTAATGATAATAAAAAAAAATTCTCATCACAGTACAATACATAATTTTGGGAAATGGGTTATTAATCCTGAGAAAAATAATGATTATTTAAATTGAAATCAACATAAATTTAATACATCAAATATTACCATGATGGATAATCATTTTATAATTAAAATAATATATCATTCTCTTTTTTTTTTTGCATTACAGTAATGAAAATTAGATTTTTTTTCTCATTACAGTACACTACTGAGTTTTGGGGAATGGGTTATTAATTACGATAAAAATAATGATTATTTAAATTAAATTAAGTACATCAAGTATTACCATTATGTATGACGATTTATCATTCAAATAATATTTCAGTAATGAGATTTAATTTTTCTTATTGCAAAACACTACTAAATATTGAAAAATGGCTTATTAATTGTGATAAAAAATAATATTACAATGCAATAAAAATAAAAAGGCTTCAGTATCTTTATGCACAATATACTTTCTTTTTTGGGGGGTGAAATGTGACCGTTCCTGTGCGATTGAGCCCAGTGTGTTTGTGAGCGCGGCGTTCGTTCTCTGTGCTGTAGTGCACTTTATAAGTTTTAATCGTGTGGACTGATGACGGGAGACAGAGAGTGTGATTAATTGTTACCTTTGGCAACCTGTATTTGTCCCTGAAGTGAGACCTGACAGTCGCCCTCTCCGCCTTCTTCTGGGCAAAATTGGCGTCTCGCTCTTGCCTGAGGAGAAACGAGAACAGAGACACGTCAAACATACACACACACACACACACACACACACTCACACACTCTCACACACTCACACACACACTCACACACACTCTCAGACACTCACACACACACACACACACACACACACTCACACACTCTCACACACTCACACACACACTCACACACACTCTCAGACACTCACACACACACACACACACACACACACTCACACACTCTCACACACTCACACACACACTCACACACACTCTCAGACACTCACACACACACACACACACACACACACTCACACACTCTCACACACTCACACACACACTCACACACACTCTCAGACACTCACACACACACACACACACACACACACACACACTCACACACTCATACACACTCACTCACACACACACACACACACACACACACATGCACACACACTCACACACTCACACACACTCACTCACACACACACACACTCTCACGCACGCACACACACTCACTCACACACACACACACTCTCACGCACGCACACACACTCACTCACACACACACACACTCTCACGCACGCACACACACTCACTCACACACACACACACTCTCACGCACGCACACACACTCACTCACACACACACACACTCTCACGCACGCACACACACTCACTCACACACACACACACTCTCACGCACGCACACACACTCACTCACACACACACACACTCTCACGCACGCACACACACTCACTCACACACACACACACTCTCACGCACGCACACACACTCACTCACACACACACACACTCTCACGCACGCACACACACTCACTCACACACACACACACTCTCACGCACGCACACACACTCACTCACACACACACACACTCTCACGCACGCACACACACTCACTCACACACACACACACTCTCACGCACGCACACACACTCACTCACACACACACACACTCTCACGCACGCACACACACTCACTCACACACACACACACTCTCACGCGCACACACACACACACACACACACACTCTCTCACACACACACACAGAGTAATGTGATGATGAACTGGGTTATTCAAGGGTCTATTGATCACTTCTTCAATCTCAAACTAATAAACGTCTGAATATTATCATCTGTCAGATTTCTAGTCTAAACGGCAATTGTTTCTCAGCTGATTGTTGGCTGACATGTTTTAGGACTAATTTTAGGACATTTCTGGATAATGATCATATAAAACCTTCGTAACATTCGACAGAAAGGCCTTAACGGATCTGAAAAAGGTTTATCTGCTTAAAAATAATCTCCACCATCACAACTTTCTGGTGATTTTAGCACGAACTAAAACAAATTCATGTCCACAGAGAGAGAGAGAGATCCGTGTAACGTCACGCTTTCCTCTGTATGCTGTAGAATCTCACGGAATAAATAAATAAAAAGAGAGCATTAAATGGCAAAACACTTCAGACTGACTGGATTTCTAGTGTTATTTGCCAAAAGGCTGGTGGACTGAAGAACTGCTTACAACAACAACATTTCATCCATTACAGAACGCTGAAAATATATTAAATTACTGTGCAGTTGTGCATAAAATCAGCTAAAGTAAATTTAAATAAGATGAGAATTTAATTTGAATATAATATTTACTGTAATTCCTTTCTAAGGTTAAAACAAATCTGCAAGACAGGTTGAGAACAATGTTATTTTAGTATCACTGATATACTGTTACTTATTACTATTAGTTTTATTAGAATTTTTTAAAAATATATTTTGTTTTAATTTAGTCAAACTTTTAATTTAGTTGTGTTTTGTCATGTTTAATATATTTTTTAATACGTCTATATAATTTTTAATAAAATTTTAATTCGCTTATTTTTAGTTTTTAGTACTTCAACATAAAATTCAACATAAAATTCAACGTAAAATTGAGAAATGTTGCCTTGCACAGAGAGAGAGAGAGATCCGTGTAACGTCACGCTTTCCTCTGTATGCTGTAGAATCTCACGGAATAAATAAATAAAAAGAGAGCATTAAATGGCAAAACACTTCAGACTGACTGGATTTCTAGTGTTATTTGCCAAAAGGCTGGTGGACTGAAGAACTGCTTACAACAACAACATTTCATCCATTACAGAACGCTGAAAATATATTAAATTACTGTGCAGTTGTGCATAAAATCAGCTAAAGTAAATTTAAATAAGATGAGAATTTAATTTGAATATAATATTTACTGTAACTCCTTTCTAAGGTTAAAACAAATCTGCAAGACAGGTTGAGAACGATGTTCTTTTAGTATCGCTGATATACTGTTACTTATTACTATTAGTTTTATTAGAATTTTTAAAAAATATATTTTGTTTTAATTTAGTCAAACTTTTAATTTAGTTGTGTTTTGTCATGTTTAATATTTTTTTTAATACGTCTATATAATTTTTAATAAAATTTTAATTCGCTTATTTTTAGATTTTAGTACTTCAACATAAAATTCAACGTAAAATTGAGAAATGTTGCCTTGACAGCTAGCTGAAAAACAAAAAAATTATATTTTTTTCAGTTATTGATTAATTTGTTTCATACATTATTCAAAAATAAAAATTTTATTTTTTAAAAACGAAATAAACTAAAATTTAATCAAAATTACAAAACAAAATTACTAAAATTTAAACTTAAAATGAAAACAGAAAATATAAAAATAAAATGTAATTCAAAAACTAAAACTAATAAAGTATATTAATAATAATAATTTTAAAAAATAATAATTTTTTCAAATAATAAATATTACTTTTTTATTTTTTTAATGGTTTTAGTTTAGGCTAACGACAATAACCTTCTATGGTACAGGAAACTAGATAGCATCTCATCAAACAATGGAAATAATCAACAAATATAAAAAAAAACTGGATACACGAAAGTTTAAGTTAACCTCACACTAGATTACAGCTGATTGGTTAGGCATTGTTAAAGGTCACTTGAGGTGAAAGGTCATGACACAATGGACACATTTAGGGGCGACGGTCTTACCGTGGGTGAACAACAACCAGCAAATCACGGTAACCTTCTTTTAATGCTTACTCCAGTCCAGAGGGATCGTCCCTATAAGTGCACTTGAAGTTGCATTGCTAAATGAGTCCTTACTAGGGAAGACGAGTCGGGAAGGGGAATATCTCAGGGATTTAGACTCGCTCTAACAGTCAGGTGACGCTCATCCACTCGGTTCACTGTAACAAATGACTAGTTACAATAATCCCCATATCAATAAGCAGCAAAAACCTTTGAGAAGATCATGCTGGTTTGGCTGATTCAAGAGATTAAACACACGACTCCCCGTCAAAGTCAGCAGTCTTAAACTAGCTGTTCACATGGGTGTCTCAGCACGTAAAATCTGCTCTGAGGACATGAGTTGGATTACAGCATGCGGATGAGCTCAGCACAGCCATTTGAAGTCTGTGAAATCTGAGTTTTCCAAATTTGGCAGTTATGCAATCCGCGTCAACACAGCCACCTGTTCATGCATTGGCTGCCTATCCTTTATGAGCTGATATCTAAAGAGAAAGCGTGTGAAGAACACAAGAAATGCTATCATGATACGATGGATCTAATGGCCTCGCATTTTGGTCGTGAGCCATAAAAAAGAGGGTTTTCATAGAAGTCAGATTGGGGTTCGAATGAAATTGGAGTAAAATATCAATCATTTTACTTGGGGCATACTTACAGAATGAGCAGATTTTAATGAAGCAAACAGCAGAGAACTGAATCTATATATTTATCACTACAACGGAAATATGATTTTTTTGGACATGTACCATGGTATTCTTTGAAGTACCTTGCAAATACATTTAATTTATACACCATATAATATCAATGTACTGTGGTACAGTACTTTTTCGAAAGTGTTTGTCATCTTTTGTATTTCGGTTTACATGCTTAAGAACAGTTATAATACACTGAAATCTAATCATCAGAGTTGATTAATTGATACCGTTTAGAATAAACAATTAAAAAATCAACACTCGAGCAGAATTTACGAGATAAGTCTGAAGCAACGCCTGGTATTTTGGTTTTTCCCATATCGTGAGCTATAAACAAGAGGGTTTTCATAGAAGTCAGATTGGGGTTCGAATGAAATTGGAGTAAAATCCTAATTGAAATCATTTTACCTGGGGCATACTTACAGAATGAGCTGATTGTAATGAAGCAAACAGCAGATAACTGAATCTATATATTTCACTACAATGGAATACATGTATCATGCTATTCTTGGAGTAACTTGTAAATAGCAATATAATTGCATAATATCAATGTACTATGGTACAGTGCGTTTTTTTAAAATAAGTGTTTGTCATCTTTTGTATTTCGGTTTACATGCTTAAGAACAGTACACTCGAATGAGTTACAATTACACCAAAGCAGAATTTACTTGATAAGTCTGAAGCAACTCGTCTGAATCCCGAATAGGTAAAATTCTAATTTACACACGCAATTCCGTTCGACTCTAATGTGGAGAATTATTAATATCTGACGGAGCAGGAATCTCCCTGAGCGAAACGAGCAGCTGCGCGGGAAAATATCCACCGAGGCGCGAAAAATGCGCGCGTCTCTCCAAACGCACCTAACGTTCACCTCGCAATAACATCATCACATCTACATATTTCTGAGGGGAAAATCAGGCGGGTAAGGTAGGTCTGTCTTACTTTTCCTCCTCCAGCTGTTGTTGGTACTGCTCTAACTCTTCTTGGGTCATTCCTTTAGCCGCGGCGTCGGATTTGTCTCCGTCAGATTTATCTTCTGTCAGACCTCCTGTCAGGTTCTTCAGCTGACCGCCGACTACGTGTTTTACCATGAAAGCCATCGTTAAATAGTGTATTGTTCCTTAATATCCCTGTTTTTTTGTCCAGAACTTCCAGTTAGGTCAATAGTAAGGTCTGTTTCTCCGCGATCGCCGAACAGAAACTCCGTCCGACGTTCAGCTGAGGTAAAGTGAAGTGAAGTGAACTGGATTCATCTCCTCATCTGAGTCACAGCAGCGGTTTGACTCTTCCATCCACCCAATCCTGTGTTTCCTCAGCCGGCTCTTCCCGCCCAATCCCGTGTTTCCTCAGCCGACTCTTCCCGCCCAATCCCACGTACCGCTGGATTAAGTGTGCGAGCTCGCCGTTAACAGCTCGTGCTTATGGCAAGCCAAAAGAGTCAGAATTACGCTATAGATAAATCACGGTTACTTTTTTTTTTACTGCGTTTAAAGGGGTCATATGATGCGATTTCAAGTTTTCCTTTCTCTTTGGAGTGTTACAAGCTGATTGTGCATAGATAAGATCCCTAAAGTTGCAAAGACTAAAGTCTCAAAACCAAAGAGATATTCTTTATCAAAGGTAAGACTCTGCCACGCCCCCCTAAAACGGCTCATTCTAACACGCCCCCACATATCTACCACACTAT